TTAATGCTCTTTGAAGCATTTTTATGATGGCTGATTTACAGTCCTTGTCAAAGAACTCTAAAATCTCTGTCCTCTCAGTGTTTAGCATTTGTTGATTTTCTTTTCTCTTTAATGTTTCTTTCATATTTAATGTCCAGTTTTAGTTGGACTCAGCAAGAAGAAAAGGGAGAAACATATCTCCTTCATCTTGTCCAGAAACAGGAGCCTTTGTCTTCCTTTAAATTACTGATATCATCTCTACCTTCTGGATTGTTTGTCCTGATCAATGTCATCAGCAGGTTGTATACTTTTAGACCTTTATTGAAGAAATAAATTTTATATTTGTTCATTTTCTCAATTGGCTCTTGTTTCTTTTCTGATCTATTCTTTATTATTACCTTTTTACTTTCTGTGGATACTTTCTGTTATTTTTCTAACTTCTTAAATTTGATTTTTTTACTTAATAATATTTGCCTTTCTTTATTCATAATATATGCTTTTAAAGCTGTAACTTTTTCTGTGAGCTCTATCTTAGCTGCTTGCCTCAGATGCAGGCATGTAGTAATGGTATTATTGTTGCGGCATAATTATTTTCTAATTTCATTATGATGTTGTCCCATTCATTTCTTATTGAGAAGCATGGAAAAAATTTTCTGTCGAGGGAGATTACTAAATTATCTTTTGCTAATGATTTCTAATTTAATTGCCTAGTGGGTGGAAAGCCCTGTCTGTTGATTTCCTGTCTTCAACATTGGTTGAACCTTTCACAGTGAATCAGAACATGGCCAATTTTTTTTGTTCTCTGAGAGCTGAGGGAGGAGGAGTAAGCTCTAATTGGCAGGCGTGGCATTTTACACACACACACTGTCGTGTTTGTGTCTTTTCATGTATTCTGCTTCCTCATGACTCTGTCACCAGACTGTGTGAGCTGTAACAGAGTGGCCTGTTGGCATCTCCCGCCGGATGGGCTGTTTGTTGGTTTGGCCTGGGTATTGCTCATTAGACTGAATTCTCGCCCCCCCCCCCCC